AGGGTTTTAATACACTCTACAATGAGAAAATGAAAGAAATCTATTGTTAAAATGATATATGGTTTTCATATTTTAATCTAAAATACTGCATTAATTTATTGGTTATTTTCTATATTCAACCATCCATCATGTTTGCATAAATTTGTTCTATCAGTAACAAGTGTAGATAAGAAAATAAGTTATTATGAACAATTTGCTATATATATGAGAACAGCAAACCACATACAGTTGGGTATGAATTATATAACGGTATAATCTGAGGTGGCCCATACATGAAAATACGTTGATTAGAACAACCAATATTAGTCAAATAAAACATTTACGTGCATGCAAGTACACACACATGATTTCACATGATAACAAATCAAACCCAGGGGTAGAGATAAGGAGAAAAAAGAGATGGTCCTGTGACAGGACCATCTAGTTTGAAATTTAGATGGTCCTCCTAAATTTTAGACGGTCCTCCTAAATTTCAAATTGTTCTTCTCTAAACAGTGTGCAAGTGTAAGAAAGAGATTTTACATGGTGATAAAATGGAAATTATTCACCTACAATTAATGTATCGACCGATACAGTAATTGTTTATTCACTTTAATAGTATATTATATTAATAGTATAAAGTTGTTTCAGTAGAATTTAGTTAAACCCATAACGGTCCGGTCCGTCGGACCATTGACTTTGAAAATCTGATGGTCCTCCTGATTATTTGATGGCCCCGGAACATCGGACCATCGCTTATTTCGACCCCTGAAACCATACTATCACTGTATCAGGATCCTAGGATAGAATATAAATATTGAATAAAAAGTCATGTACCTCACAGGGGTAGAAATTAACTTTTGAACACGGGAGTCGAACGGACTCCCTACCCTCAAAAAGAGGGAGTCCGCAGCAAAATGAGGGAGTCTGCAGTCTGAGGTTCAAAATTACAGATATTACAACAATAACGCATACAGGTGCATATTTTTAAGATTCATGCGGTTGCGCGTCTGCCAAATTTTCTTTGGACATTAGCTGAAAAAATACGGTAATTCTACGAGGCCGTGCTCTGGAACGAACCAGTTAGTATGGCAGAATTTTCAGGGAGTCACACGGACTCCTGCATATATGTCAAATCAGGGAGTCCGACAGTAAATCAGGGAGTATTCGACTCCGGACTCCCGTTAATTTCGCACCCTGACCTCATATATAAATCCACCCATAAGACCTGACCTACGGTAAAGGACTTTAAATAAGACGGTACTTAAAAAGAGCACAAACATGCCCAAATCACCAACATCTTAAAAATTCATCAAAATAGGGAGTTGGTGACTCATCTTCCTATGAAGCGGGTAGGTTAGATTACTTTACTGGTTATATATAGGGTTAACGGAATGCAAATGTTTAAAATTGCAAAGGTGTGATAAACAAATGTAATTATTATTTGCAGGTATAAATTGCCTGCTTCCTCTATAAAAACACAAATTAATAACACATATCACACCCGCTTCCCTTACTAAGTATTTCTCTTACTAAGTTTAGGGTCTCTGAGTGGAGATACACACATTCGCTTGTATCCACGATATTATAATTTAAACGTAGGCTATACCGGTACTCCCACATCATTAGTCTTGCACTACCTACACAGATGGCTGTAGCTCAAGTTAGCAGTTTACATATTACCACTAAAATGGTAAACAATGAGAGCTGTTTTGGCTGGCCTTACTTATATCACGTACGTATGCACATCTCAACTATAATTTTGTGTGATTCACTGATGCCCCACCCCCACCACTCGTACGACTGACCTGGAATTCTTCACATACCTCTATTTAGAGTAGCACGTAGCTCGCTACCAAAACACCGCACAAATGTGTAGCCATCATGAACACCATGGTCTAGATCAATGATTTCATATGATATACCCGTTACGAAACATGGCACGTCAGTAAATAATCAGTTTAATGACGAATATATGTAATAAACTTCGCAGGTGAATCAGTCAACCTGTTGTACTAGACCGACAACTATGCGACGGTGATGTACATTACATGGCAACATGACAACACATCCAATAACTGTGCATTTATGGATTATCTTACGAACTAATTTAATCATGTTTTAAACAGTCATATGAGTCTTACCCTTATGTAACACACAGTCCCTTTTAGAATATCAGAAATACGAGGTATCCACACGATAACAACTAAATTCCACAATCAAAACACAGAACAAAGTTCGCGGAGTTCAGCAATGGCGCTGCTTCCGACATAGTGGACCCAACTACTTCCCATTTCCGGGGTGGATAGCGCAGGTTTTCTGTAAGTTTGTTCGTTAGCATAGTTTAGGAGTTTGCATTTTATTACGGTACTGTTGTTTTTTGGTTAGAATAAAACGTTAAATTATGTTGAATAAAATATATATTATCATGTATTATGATGTAACATGTGTCATGTAGTCATGTCAAAGTAGTATAAGACACATCGTTTCTCTCGTTTTTATTAGCCTATAGGAACTTGTTTTATAGTAGTTTGTAGCCTATTTGCCTGTATGATCTGCGATTATCCGTGCAATAAACTTTATTTGAATTTGAATTTGAATTCATAATTTGTAAGTGGTTTTCAGCATATCTAGTGATCTAACCAAATGCGTTTTGTGGGAGAGTACGTGGCCACATCTGTGTAACTTTATGGTCTAATAAATGATGTAATGACCACGCTGTGTATTTGACGATGCACGTACGTGATACATGTCGTGAATACTGTTCTCAGTTGCAAACTATCTATGTATTTATATCTGCGTTTGCGAACCGAAAACTGGAATGCACGTACGCGTGTATAATACCTGTGCTGTAATCACGCTAAATTAAGACCTATAGGTTGTCTCACGTCTTAGGTACTGCATTTACGTTGTTCGACAGGAATATCACTCGCCGTAAATTTTAAATAAACATCATTAAACATGGTAATTAATTGAGTAAATTGGTTGATTTTTTTTAATTGTTGCTAAATTGCCACGTTAATTACAAATAATATTGCAGAAATTTGATTTGTTCGTATATATCTGTTGGTTTGACCTGTTGATTAATCACATGTTTCGATTTCTGACACATTTAACACAGCAATAGTAGGGGATAGATAGCTTGGGCCCCCGTATCAATTAGAATTTTGCGTTTCGTATGCATGATCTAGAATCAAATCAAACGCAAGAAGTAGACACATATATATGCGCCCAATCGTCGGATGTAGAGGTATACTTTTTTTCTTAGATACTTTTTTATACTTAGATACTTTTCATAGATACTTTTTTTCCTGCATAAAGCAACATTGTATCAAAATTTGACACGTAACATTCGTATAACAACAATGGACATGAAATCAACACATACAGCGCAATCCCTAACAATGTGTTTCGCGCACAGCAACTTTCGCCATGGCAACCACATTTATCACGGCAACTCGCGCGCCAGTTTTCTCTCACATTATTTTAGCGCTCGGCTCAGTGCAGACTCAGTTCATAACCAGTTACCTAGTTTAAAAGTTTCACTTACGAAGCCATGCATCTAAGAAAATTTAGGAAGCGGCGTGAAAGTAGGAGAAAACGTAAGTTACCACTAATATATCTATGCAAACACGATTCACGAAAGGTTTTATTTACGCTTTTGATAGTCTTTATCGTTCTTTGGATCGTACTTGAAGTTTATGCATTTAACAGAGCACTATACAGGGAACTGCGTAGCACTCTCTTAATACCGCGTAATTATGATTGGAACAAGCCGAATACTATAAAAATAACAACATAAATAAATATAATATAAAATAATAATAATATAATAATTTAATCTAATTTATTGTGACTGGTTTGATGCGGCGTAGTAGCATGAGCATTCGTAACTCTTTAATAGGAAAGGCGGCCAGTGATTCTGCGCCTTCGATCCCACGTGAGGATGACCGCAAACAACCAGGATGCTTCCAGTTTCTCCGCCATTTCAGCTGCAACAAAAGCAATGGAGATAAAGGTATAATACTATTTATGTTTGATTGATTCGTTAATGCATTCACACATGTATTGCTCTCACTTAAGATTTATCGGTTACTATTTACTGGCAACCTAACTTTTGGTAAATTGGCAAATCTTGGTTAAAATATATGTATAATTTTTTGTTTATTGTTTTCTTTTTATGTGTGGAAATGGCAATTCTGTATTAGTAACGTTCTTATTATAGTTTCTTCCCTCGGCACATTTCATTTTCCGTCCATTTATATTTCAATTCGAAACTACATGTCTGTGCCAGATAGTATCCTCTCTCCCCATCTCCTCCCCCTTTCTCTCTCACCCCCCCCTCCTCTCTCTCTCCCCCCCCCCCTTTCTCTCTCTCTCTCTCTCTCTC